CACCGGCTCAGAAGAAATACCGGACATAACCGACTATGAAATAAGAATGGCCCTAAATCAACTTAAAACGAATAAATGTCCGGGAGAGGATAAGATTACAGTTGAAATGTTGAAAATTGGTGGCAGAAAAATGGAACAGGTATTAAATGTTTTATTTAATAAAGTAATTGATGAAGGAAAGATTCCTCAAGAATGGTCCAACTCTGAGGTCATTTTATTATTCAAGAAAGGAAACAGAGCAAACATCGAGAATTACCGACCAATATCCTTGCTATCACATCTGTATAAATTACTTACTAAAATCATAACCAACCGCCTAACACATAAGCTCGATTTCTATCAACCTATCGAGCAGGCTGGATTCAGAAAACATTTTAATACCATAGACCACTTGCACACCGTAAGAACACTGATAGAAAAATGCACCGAGTATAATGTTCCAATTCATATGGCGTTCGTCGATTTCCACAAAGCATTCGATTCCATCGAATTATGGGCAGTGCTTGAATCTCTAGAAAATGCACGCATAGATTCAAGATACATTAACATAATTAAAAACATATATGAAAATGCCACAATGCATATAAAACTGGACGAAAGCACAAAAACTAATCCCATAAGACTACAACGGGGAGTAAGACAAGGAGACACCATCTCTCCCAAACTATTTACTCTTGCTCTAGAAGATATTTTTAAGAAACTGGAATGGAACAATAAGGGTATCAACGTCGACGGATCATACTTAAACCATTTGAGATTCGCAGATGACATAGTTTTAATAGCCGATAATATCCAAGAACTAAATGATATGTTACAACAATTAAATGCAGTTTCAGGAGCGGTAGGCTTAAAAATGAATTACAGCAAAACAAAAATACTGAGCCGAGACCAGACAAATATAACAATACAAAATCATACCATAGAAAATGTGGAACATTATGTATATCTAGGTCATGTTATCAAACTAGGAAAACCAAATCAAGATGCTGAAATTAAAAGAAGAACACAACTGGCTTGGGGCGCTTTCGGCAAACTAGCACATATCTTGAAAAACACCTCCATTCCTATAAACTTAAAGAAAAAAGTGTATAACACATGCATACTACCTGTTTGTACCTACGGCTTGGAGACAGTAGCACTTACCAAAAAATCTGCCAAAAAATTAGAAACAACGCAAAGAGCAATGGAACGAATCATGCTTGGAATATCACTAAGAGACAAGATTAGAAACACCGAGATACGACGTAGAACGAAGATTAGGGATATTGTGGAAGAAATTACAAAAATGAAATGGCGCTGGGCAGGTCACGTAGCCCGATATAATGACAACAGGTGGACACGGAGAATTCTAGAATGGAGACCAAGGACGACAACAAGAAGCATGGGAAGACCTCAAAAAAGATGGGTAGATGACATAAGAGCGGTGGCAGGCAAACAGTGGATTAGATTGGCGCAAGATAGAGAAAGATGGAAGCAATTGGGAGAGACCTACATTCAGGAGTGGATGGAAAATGGTTGACAAAGAAGAATCTACAAATTGAACTAAACGGTAGCGGCAACCATGTAAAATTTCATTAGTAAATTCTTACCGGGGTCATTTTTATTGTGTATGCTTCGCCCATGTAAGTATGTAAATTTGTAATCCATGTAAGATAAATTTGCCCCCGTAACAATATAAATTAATGCGATTCACGAGTATATAGTGAGACAAGTTCATTGAATAGTTTGAAACATCCGTAAACTTATCAATATTTTGCTGGTCTATATATATTTACGTTCTTAGAAAGAATGTTAATGAGAAAAATATGATATCTTAGTTTATTCCTTCCAGATTATAAACATTTGTGCATAAGCGTAGTGTGTTATTGGGAATATATTTATTAAATAGACTTTATTATTAACTTTAAAACAGTTTGAAGGTAAGTATAGTAAATTTGAGGCCAGTTTATTCTTTATATAGTATTAAACCCTTAACGGACGCTCAATATACAAAGAGAAATTTGACAATTAATTTATTAGACTCGATTAAAAATAGATAAATTAGGACTGATTCACAACCAAAAAAATTTTTTTTTCTCATTTTCAAGGAAAACAGTACAATTTTTAATAAAGGAACATATTGTATCTTAAACGTAAATTTAATTTTAAAGTGAAAATTTTCGAAACATTCGGGGTGTAGATGCATTCTAAACTTTTTACATAAATAAATAGTATTACTTTTGTACACCCTAGATTTTTGCACTATCGTTTCTTTTTGTAATGTGGCCAATATTGTCGAATCTGGTTTCATCTGGTAAAGCAAATTTAGATTTACGTCCATGTACTAAGTGACACTGGCGTAGCGGTTTCTTCATTATTATAAATTAAAATTATAAATTTATGTCGGCTCATGCTTTCTCTTATAATATGCACTTCTTTATCCTCATCCTTTGATCAATGCATATCAACCTAAAGCGAAGTGTAAACCAGATAATATACATATGCTAATAATTTTATTTAAATCTATGTTATTCATTTCAAAATTGTGACGGTTATTCTCAATTACTTTTTTATCAAAAAGGGTAAAAAAACTTCAATATATGAATTGCCTACATGGTTGGCTTTTATATTGTCTAAATATCAATCAGACTGATGTTGAATTACTACTGAGCACGAACGAATATCCGTTATTACAACTTGAGATAAATTTGGATTTACTATTTTTGCCTGGTTTTTTCTTTGGTCGTTTTACCTGTGGTTCAGAGGAATATCATAATCAGAATCGTCAGAATTCCCAATCACTTGTATTTCATATGTACCTGCAATATCCGATTTTATTGATTCTTAACAAATAATATTATCATCAATGTCTTCAAGGAATACAATATACCAAACGATGGAATACCGACGGACTGTTAAGAAAGGAAATAATAACAACACCTGAATTAAGACACGAAATAGAAATCAGTTTTCAGGAAGTAGAAATAGTCATAAATTCACTCAAAAATAGACAGTCACCAGGACCAGACGGAATAACCAACGAGCTTCTAAAATACGGAGGAGAAAGTATGACCCTACAGATGACAAAGCTTATACAAAAACTAATATTGCACTGCAAGAAACGAGACGCATGGAGAAACAGCATAAGGTTACCAATGTTCAAGTAAAGGAGATAAAGAAGACCAGACAAAGGCTTTCATTCGCATCCATGTCGAAGACGTCTTACACCTACTGTATAAAAGAAACATACCAATCAATATTATACAAACCATCGAAAGCATCTACCTCCATAATCGAATACAGGCAAAGATAAATGGAAAACTAACACAGTGTATACCAGTACAAAGCGGAGTCAGACAGCGTGACTCGTTAAGCCCACTTCTCTTTAATATAATAATGGACGAAATAATACAAGCAGTACGTAAAGGTCATGGCTGATGAATGGGAAACAAAGAAATCCAAATATTATGTTATGCAGACGACGCCGCATTAATCGCCGAGACAGAAGACGAGCTCTAAAGATTAACACATATCTTCAATACAACAGCTAAGAAATACAATATCATAATATCAGCAGAAAAGTAGAAATGTATGACAAACATTTAAATACCCACTAAATACCCACTACGGTGTAAAATCAAAATTGATGGGAAATAAAGCCCGAAGCAAGGTTTAGATATCTGGGAATAGATATAACTAGTTACGGAGATGTTGAAGAAGAAGTACGACAGCAAAGCTTAAAAGCAAGTAAAGCGGCGGGTTCTCTTAAAGACACAATCTGTAAGAACAAACACCTAAGACAAGACACTAAACAAGAGTCTATAAAGCAGCAATTAGACCTATATTAACATACACGGCGAGATAGGGAGAGAAGCAAGAAGATCATACAATATAGAAGACATAAATGGATGAGTGACAAAACGAAAACAGGAGTGGAGCAGATCAGTAGAATGGCAGAGGATAGAATAGTACGAATAGCACGAGATAAGTCACCAAATGGACGAAGAAGTATTGGCAGACCAAGAAAAAGATGGTAGGATAATTCAAACAATTTAGAAGGCTAATAATGAAGAAGAAACAGGCTTTAAAGCCTACATATTAGAAGGAAGAAGAAGAAGAAGATCAATGAGTTCTACATCAGAAACTTTCTAATCTAATCTCGGCGGCAAATAAACCACATTAAGTGAGTCAGCATTTTCACAATCTGAGTCTTCTTCTAACAAAGCTATTAACTTTTTAGTAGTTAGTGCCATCTTCATTTCATATTTCGAGAATATACTGAAATAAACAAATGCACTTCTATATAAACATTCACTAGCATTCACCTAATAATAGTTTAGCTTACTTCATTTTAATTTATATGAACTTCATAATACATTTTCATATTTATATAAACAAATAAACACAAGGAAACTTTCAAATTAAGTAAAAAAAACAAATAACGTTACACACAGCCATTCTATAAATAGAGAATGGTGTGTAATGATGTGTTATTAAAATTGCAGATTGTTTTTAGTCTAATGAAAAAAAAAAAATAAGTATTTTTCAAAGTTATCTTTTTTTGAAGTTTTGTATTAGATACTCGCTAATAAGAATAAAATTTTACTTTACTTTGTTAGACTATACTATAAGATACCTACCTAAGTTAAAAGAGACATGATAATTTAATAATTAAATCGGTCTTAGATTTACATTTTTACGTAATTACTTATGTGTTTAAATAAATAATTAAAATTTTTTTTGGTACGCCTCTGTAAAATTGATAATTTCAATACGATTTCGTTGAAAAGTTATCGTTAAGGGCTTCGTTAAGTACGATGTTGCCAAGTAATCACCTTCAATTAAAAATTGTTTTAGTATAGTAAGTCATGTGTAACAATGTAACTTGGAAGAATTTGAGATAATAGTATTACCAAAGGGTCCTTAAAATACAAGACAAGTACGAGAAGATAATTTTTTTAGGATCAATAAATAACTTTTATTATTTATTACAGTATCTGAGGTAAAATACGAATACTCACCAGGATTAATACCATTAGCAGCGTAAAGTCCCGACATGTTTTTCAACATTTGTTTAATGTCTGGCCTTAATTCTTGTAAATTTGCAGAAGAATTCAGAGTATTATCTTCATTATAGATTTGATCGATGTGTTGTGTTAATTCTTGTAGCTCCTCTTGCCGTGATCTATACATAGCGTCCAAGTACTGAATTCTCACTTGAAGTTCGGCCAACCTTTGTAACAAGGTTTCTTCGGATGAAATATCTGTAACAAAACAAAAGGTACTGAAACTTATGATAAATTTTTATATTCTAGTTTTCTACAAAGAATAATTCATAATTCCAAAATATTTAGATTGCTGAAAGTTAACAAATAAGTTTTGATTAAACATTTTTTCAGGGTTAATACCACCAGAGAGTTTATTTTATCGAACAAACTTTTAATTTTATAATTTCAAACTCAACTGCTTAGAAATTTAGGAGCCGACTAATAAAACAATGAAGATAAATTGTTTCTTTGCGAAATAAAAATTAAACCTTATACGGAGAAAATAAAACTTTGGTATTTGAGAAGATAATTTAAGGACTCGGCCTTAGAAATATTTTATTACTACAGACATTATAAAATAAGAAACACATAACAAACAATAAAGAAGATTTCACTTATAAAATTAAAAATATTTCTGACAGCATTTGGTTAATTTAAATTATTTCTTTCTGGTCCTTAAGAATATTAAGAATATAAATAATATAAAGAAATTTGTAAATACAGCTTACTGTTTAAGAAGAAAAAAATATTAATTGCTATTTTGTCTGGTTTTTATATTATCAGTCTTTATTTTACTTTTGTAAAAGTATACAGTTTGCGTTTAATTTAAAATTTCGTATTAAATATTGGTGGCTAAAGAAAAATGGATGGAGGATGCATGCAAGGAATTAGAAAAGTTGAATGAAAAACATGATACGTTTAATATGTTTAAAAAAGTTAGAGAAGTAACTGGTCTTTATCATAAGAAAACTCCACATACTATAACCGATTTGTTGGGAAATATGATAATAGACGAAAATGAAATTCGAACAACCTGGTGTAATTATATTAGTGAACTGTATACTGATGATAGACTCGAAGAACCGGAGACTTTAGTTGAAGGTGAAGGACCAGAAATACTAAAATCAGAAATACTGCATGCCATAAAGTTAGCAAAGAACAAGAAAGCCGTTGGCCCTGATAACATACCGACAGAGATGTTAAAGGTTATAAATGAGGAGAACATTGGAATACTGGTCAAACTTTTCAATGATGTTTATTCGACTGGTGATATTCCTGAAGATTGGTTAAAGTCCGAATTCATAACACTACCAAAAAAACAACGTCCGAAAAACTGTAGCGATTATAGAATGATAAGCCTTATGAGCCACACTTTGAAAATATTTCTACGCATCATCCACAGTAGAATCAGAGATAAATGTGAAGAAGATCAGGATGAAACATAATTTGGCTTCAGAAATGGACTGGGAACTCGGGACGCCCTCTTTGCACTAAATGTATTACTGCAGAAATGTCGAGATCAAAGAAAAGACGTCTTTGCTGTATTTATTGACTATGAAAAGGCCTTTGATCGAGTACAGCATCACAAATTAATTACAATATTAAAAGATAAAGGAGTTGATAGTCAAGACATACGATTCATAGAAAAGTTATACTGGTGTCAAACAGCGACAGCTTGCATAAACGGAAAATCAACAGAAATATGTAAAATACAAAGAGGTGTCAGACAGGGTTGTATACTATCCCCACTGTTATTTAATTTATATTCAGATAGGCTATTTAAAGAAGCGTTGCATAATTTGGAATGGGGCGTGAAAGTTAATGGAATTCTGATAAATACAATCAGATATGCAGACGATACAGTTATTTTAAGTGATGCCATGAATGGATTACAATGCCTTTTAAATGCCATTGATACAGTGGGAAGAGAGTTTGGCCTAAACATAAACTGTTCAAAAACAAAACACATGGTGTTTAGCCCTTTAGCACATCAAGATGCACGATTATATGTTGATGGTCATATAATTCAAAGAGTGTCCAATTTTTAATATCTTGGTTGCCATATTCCTGAACAACTAGATCCAGATCAAGAGATAAAATGTAGAATCGAGATAGCCCGCACGACATTTTTAAAAATGAGGTCATTCTTCTGTAATGATAACTTGAAACTTCAACTTCGAAAGCGTATGGTTAAATGCTACATTTGGTCAGTCCTCTTATACGGTGTCGAAGCATGGACATTAAAAATATCCATCATTAATTGTCTGGAGGCCTTTGAAATGTGGCTGCACAGACGTATACTAAGAATTACATGGACGGCTATGCTGACAAATGTGGCAGTCCTTGAGAGAGCAAATGCTGCTCGCGAGCTGCTTGATAACATCAAATGTAGAAAGATGGCCTATTTTGGACACGTAGTAAGGGGAGACCGATATAATATTCTTCAATTTATTATGATGGGTAAAATCGAAGGACGCAGAGGAATTGGTAGAAAGCAGGCCTCTTGGTTGAAGAATATCAGAGATTGGACAGGAAGAAAGAAAGCTGAGCAACTCTTTAGAATAGCTCGAGACAGAGACAGTTTCGCCATGTTAATCGCCAACATCAAGGGGACTTGATAGGGCACGTTAAGAAGAAGATTAAATATTGAGTATGAAAGGTCGTGACAATGTGAATTTAAATTTAATGAGAGATAAAGTGGTTTGAATAGTTTCCCTCATTGAAGACGAAAAGTGTCAGAGATATGTGGCAAATTGAGTGGGTCTAAATCAGTCGACAGTATCACGAGTGGTAGTAAGGTACCGAGAGACTGGTCTTTATGAAAGACGAGCTGTAACAGGTCGGCCAAGAGAAACTACGCATGTAGACAATAGATTTTTAGTCCTTCGGGCTTTGCGTCGAAGTTATGAGACTGCAAGGCAACTTCAACATGACTTAGCCGAGATTCGAAATGTACGTGTGTCTTCAGAAACGGTTAGGCACAAACTTAAGACAGTCTGGAATTAGGGCCAGACTAGCTGCCACTGTCCCAAGACTTACAAGGCAACCCCGTATAGCACGTCTAACATTTGCAAGAGAGCACGTAAACTGAAATATCGACGACTGGAATAACATACTCTTTACGGATGAGTCAAGATTTTGTTTATACACTTCGGATCGAAGAATACCAGTTTATAGACGAGATGGTGAGCGTTATTTTCAATGCAACCTAAAACCGGCGACAAACTTTGGAGGAGGATCTATTATACTCTGGGACGGAATATCTCTTAGGGGTCAAACCGAACTGGTACAACTAGATGGAGGATCCTTAACTGCTAATAGGTACATTAGAGAAATTTTGGAGATGCATGTTGTTCCTTACGCCCCATTTATTGGTAATGACTTTGTTTTACAGCATGACAATGCACGCCCACACGTCGCAAGAATCGTAATCGAGTATCTTCAAGAGGTAAATTTACAAGTTTTGAATTGGCAAGCGCACAGTCCGGACTTCAATAGAACATGTTTTGGTCCATCTTTACAGAAGAATGAGATCTGATAATTTGACACCAGCTAATGTTCAGGACCTGCAACGGTTGTTAACCGTAGAATGGGATAATATCGATCAAGATTATCTAAGAAGATTTATTGCCACAACGTTGTCTAGATGTTATAAAAGCTAGATGAGGCAATACGTCTTACTAAATTATCATTACTTTTTATTTTTATTTTTTTTATTCAATGCTGTTTGTGCGCTTACTTCTAATTTATTAGATTTATAGAATCTATAGAATTTTAAGTAAATTAAATAAAACCTTTGTTTTTCGTACATTCTGTATGTTTCTTTTAATACTTGTTACGTACTTAAAAAACAAAAAAAAACAACAGTAAAAAATTCATTCATAGGTGATGCGATACTTTTTTGGCGGAGTGTATTAATTTATAAATTATATTAATATATCAGTAAACAAAAAAAAAACCCGAAAAAATCTTATACAGATTTTTGCAGGTTCTAAATGGAATGTGAGGGATAGCTGATGACAAATCCTTAAAGAAGTACAACAGATTTTGTTTTCTCTTTTTTAAACAATCCTAAAAAGTGAAAAAGATTTTTTTTCTATAAATCGTTCCTTTTAGAGTTTCGAGAAAAACAGTTCAAATAAATGTTATAGATCTTAAAAATGTCTTCAATTTGTGAGTGTCCAAATGAAAATACAATCATTTGACCAAGAAAATTGCAAAAATCTCTTATTCTTGCAGTAATTTATACATTTTAATAACTTGGTTTATTGCATAATGACATTTAATATAACTACTTGAAATGATGGCATTTATTGATTTATTGAAGTGTGCTAAATCTTAACTACAGTAAGTTCAACTTTAAGCTACGGCCAGTGTAAACAAATGCACGCTGGAAACACGCGTTTGTTCAGGGCCGGACTAGTAAATTAAAGCTACAATACAAAACCTTATATAATTTGTAGACGTCTGACAGGTACAGATTATAGTACACCAATTTTTTTAAAATACAAATGATTTATAAAGTCGAGAGCTTTTAACAACAAAATAAAGTATAGAAAAAAAAGTTTATAAAATTATTGTATTTTATCTTAACTTTCAGAATGTGATGTACTGCTGTCATCATTAAAGTTGATAATCATAGGCTCAATTTGTACCTCAATTAAATTTTCCAACTCCCACATTTTTGGCTCCACTTCTTCTTTTACATGTTTGATGCAGTTTTTCCATTTGTCCATGGTTACAGCAGACATAGCTTCATGAAATAAATTTTTAATTTCAGCAAATTTAAATGTTGTGTTATGCGCTGCACCATAATTCTTGACTTCCGCCCATACAAGCTCGATTGGATTGAGCTCGCAGTGATGCGGTGACAACCTTAAAACTATTCTATTTGTGCTTCTTACCAGTTCGTCTACTATGTACTTATTATATTCGCCTTTATGTTGTTTAACGTTTTCTAAAAGTTGCACCTTTAACATCGTTTCTTCAAAGGGAATGTCTTTTGAGCGAAGCCAATTTTGAATATCTGCCTTTTTTGTAGCCATAAAATAAATTTTTTCCAATTTTCTGGAATGGTAAGGGGCATTGTCCATTACAATTATAGCATTTTTTTTCCAGTGTTGGTAAAATCT